GCACTAGTCGCTCTCTAAGACGCGTGCGGTGGAAGTTATAGCGATGGTGGTGCTTGTTGTGTTGGGGACAAAGAGCGATTTCGCATGGAAAGGAAGAGTTCAACAGAGAGCGGCAAAAACATAGCAAAATAAAGCACGTGGACTCCAAAAGGATTTAAAGAAAATTTCAAAAATTAATTTGAATATATGCTATTCTTAGATAGTCGAGGAAATGTCGAAAAACAATAGATTAGAAAACTTGAAGTTGATAAATTTAAAACAAAGAGAAGTGGAGGTATGAAGTGAGGAATTTGATTTTCCATGTTTTTTATTAGCTGATACATTGAGTTAACTTATTACTTCAGGCTGTGTTCGCTCCACTTCTTGTGTCTTTGCTTTGCCTCGTTCTAATGTCCTGCGTTCATGGTGGAGGGAATATCTGGTGGTTCGGCCTTCGACAACCATTTTGTACAGCCTTATTAGATGCTTGTCCTTGCTTGAAGCAATATGCAAATGTTAGTTGTTTGTTCTCATGTATATCTTCAACAACTGATTTTTTAGTTGATGTTGTCACGATGTTTTCTACTTCAAATTGGTTTCAGGTTAGCTACAAATTCGTACTTCACCGGGAAGGTCTTAGGGAAGGAAGTGCAAATGCGCATCCAGTGGTACATCCTCGCAGGGAGGAACACGATCGGTATCCCTTAAAGCCCGCTGTACCTTTGTGTAGTTTGGAAATGGTCGATTAGAATCTCTTCTAAATTTATCTGACATTTGCTTTACGGATGCAGTACTTAGACAATTGTATTTGACTCTGCAGATTCCAATTGTTTTTACGAATGTTTCATTTCTGGTTGTAAATAGAAAGTGTACACTTTATCAGATCTCTATATTTTGTCACTCTGTTGGAGAATTTGTTCCATCACGGTTTTTCAGGAAGAAATGTAATAAAACTGAATAATCGTAAAGTTATATATTCAGAAGTGTTTTTGTCACCATCATTTCTTTTATTTTTGTTTCTTGTTCTTTTGTTCCCATCCGACTACCAGCAAGTTAATTGAATTTGAAGCAGAACTATTTGGAACTGTATACATACGCATTGGGTAGTTTCAGTTCTTTTTTTTTTTTTGCAGGATATGGGCTATGCTTAGTTTTTATGATATTCTACAAGTTAGCTCAAAGGCAAGTGTTGAAGAAATCAAACGTTCATATTTTGATTATCTGCGTCGCATTCATCCAGACAAAGGCGGTGTAGGAGAAGGAAGTTCGGACTCTGTCACCCTTGCCACACATATTTGGAGCACTCTCAAGGTCTGCTTTCACAAAATTTCATTAAATGACACTTGTTTCACACTGCGTTTCGCTGATAATAATTAACTTTTGGAAGTGCGGGCGATGGATTGTACATGAAGATCTGGGGCCGGATTCATCATTGATTTTACCTAGGGTAAATGTGGCCACGCCCCTTCCTTGGTGATGTACCGAGATTCATCATTTTGTTACCACTACCTTAACCACAAAAAAGGGGTATATACGTGCCCATCGCTGAGGCAGGTTTCGCAGATACCTTACCTCCTCACAACTTGACCCATGGTGATGGGAACTGGCGCATTCTGAGAACACCGCATGACGTAATTGCGGTGAATGTTAGCTGTCTCTTACTAGACACTAAACACAAGAATCATGTGACATTTCTTGTTGAATTCAATGTGTAAACACAATAGGACATTTGAAATATAGTATATAGCCGCAAAGAATCTTACAAAGAGCATGAAAAACCGAAAAAAAAGGTATTTGGGATATTATATCAAACAATGAAAAGATATGCTTAGTTGGAAAAAAGCTTTTGAGCATCTCACTGACAATTTATGCAAGTAAAGTTGCGAATTTTATTTTTTAAAATTCTTTTTGAGAAGAGCAGATTGCACAATAGACAAATTTGGAATTAATCAAATGCAAGCAATAAATTCAGCTTCCTACGAGTGGCGTCATTGGATGTT